ACACCACACACATACATATATTTATAAATACACACATATGTTTATGGACATAATGCACTGAGTTCATTTAGTGGTGCGTGTGTGTACCTGTGTTTAGGGATCCCCTCTTGGGATTAGGTAAGCACTCAGGGAGCTAGTCCCTGAAGAAAATTGCAACCTCTGCACCTACAGCTCAGAGAACGTTGCAGAAGAGGGGGTGGGGAGGAGAATGTAAGAGCCAGAGGTCAAGACACTTTCTGCTAGTTAATGCATTCTAGACATGATAGGGAAGTTGTACCCACAGAATCTCCACATGTAATGGTAGCCTAATGGGATCTGCGTAATGACAAAACCAGTTGACATGCCAGGGTGGATGGGGGCAATTTCACAGTGTCTCACCTCAGGATGAAGAGCTTCAGGCAATCAATGGATGGTCGGTGAAGTTAACTCTAAATATTTTATTTTGATGCTGTCATAGATAAAAAAATTTATTAATTTCTTTCAGATTGTTCATGGTTACGGCTAGGACTATAGCTCAGTGGCTAAGCACTGGCCTACCATGCATGAGGCCCTCGGTTCCCCAGTACTGAAAAAAAAATATAAATAAATAAATGAAACCAAATTGTTCATTGTTAATATTAGTATATAGAAATAGAACTGATGTGGGCATATTCATTTTGTCAGTCCTTAATTTTGCTCATTAGTTCTAACAACTTTTTGTAGAATCTTTAAGGTTTCAAGTTCATGTCGTGTGCAGACATGTAATTTTACTGCCTTATAATTGGGCACCATTTATTTCTTGGTCTTTCCCAGTTGTCCTGTCTAGAATTTCTGACAGCATATTGAACAGAAGTGGTGAAAGTGGGCTCCTGTGCTGCTCCTGATCTTAGAGGAAACATTTTTTTAAATAAATAATTTATTGAGAATTTCATACATGCATATAAGGTGTTCTGATCAAACCCATGCCCACTCCCTCCCCTCCAACTCCTCCTATATCTCCCCATCACTTTTTTCTGATAACTTCATGTACTCTTTTTCTTCGATTTATTTTTTTATGGGGCTTTTGGCTACTCTAACATTCCCTCCTCTGAAGAGGTAACCCTAAAATCTTTTAAGGATTAGATACAAGCTCCCAAATACTTTCGACATTTTTGGTCTTTGGAACAGAGTATGTTGCTAAAGAGGCCCAAGGACGTTGTGAGTTTTAGCCAAGAAACTGGCTACTTTTCTCTGGAGTCTTTTTTTTTTTTTTATTTGGTCTTTTTGAGACAGAGTCTCCCTGTAGCCCCAGCTGTCCTGGAACTCACTATGTAGACCAGGCTGGCCTTGAACTCACAGAGATCTGCCTGCCTCTGCCTCCCGAGTGCTGGGATTCAGGCATACGCCACCACGCCCGGCGTTCTTTGGAGTCTTTTTACCCTAACTGCCTAGCCAATTCCTACCTCCTATTCTTATCACATCATCCTCTGAAGAGGTTACCCAAATTGCCAATAGAGAATCAGGATGCAAACCGCTCTGGCTTCTTCCATGCTGAACAGGATGCAGGGTGAGGCAATTGGAGTACCCCTTCAGTGGGGTTATCTTCACATCTATGTGAAGATAAGTCTATTTAAAAGACTCCCAAATTGCATAACTCTTATCTCTAGGGGGAAAAGAAAGTCCTTGAATCGTGAATAGGGGATGTGAAGGAGCAGTAAAGGCAAGAGTAATTAGCATTACAAGTTCTAGACCGGGAACTAGAGAAAAGTCAGAACAGGGCAATTTTTAAATGTTCATATGAGAGTCCATTGGAATTTCTTGATAAGGGCTTCCAAAAGCATCTGTCTATTGGGCTCCTCTTGGCTTCCAAAAGCATCCCTCTATTGGATTCCTCCTCATTTTTCTTTTGTCTTCCAAGGCTGGACTCTAGAGTGATAGATTCAGGATTTGCTTTCTGGTATTTTGATAGCTGTTAGAGTGGTTAGAATCCACTGAACTGAGTGTCAGTTCCCTCTCAAAGGCCCTATCTAGATAGGGGGAGAAAACAAATTTATCCATCATTTTAGAACAATAGCTGCTTGTCTCTCTTAGCTACAGGTGGGCACTACAGGATTGGAGACCAAGATTTGAAGTCTTTCATCTGAACAGCACTTTCTAGTTAGGAACAAAATCATCAATGATAACTAATTGTCTAAATAACTTTTTATATAGACTTAAGCATGTCTGGGAAGTGTAATCCCTTGAACTCTTAAAGAAATATATTGATGACTTTACTCTTTGGTTATACTTTCCTTTTGGGTGTTTAAGACCATACAGTTGGCCCAAATAAATCAATTTATTTTTACACTTAAGGTCATTTGAGGATCTCTTCCTCAGGGGTCACATGGGCTTTGGAGGAGCCCCTGGCTCCTTTCTGTTGCCAATTCCATCTATGTGAAGATAAATCAAAGATCCTGCTCGACCATGTCTGGCTTCACTTGGAAGCATGAATGAGATGTTTCCTCTGAGTTGACCCTCCTCTTTGTACACTGGACACTGGTTCAAGTCCATCTCGTGGGCTCTCCATGTGCTCCTTGAACAAGAGGATAAGTGACTCATCACAGTTACAGGACATTTTGGGAAATGTTCCATAGTCCCCTGGAACTTAGTCGACCTTGGAGGGTAAGGGGCAAAAACTGTCCTTTAAGTCCCTCTGACCACATTAGTATAGGCCTCAAAGCATGGCTGTTAAACATCCAATAAGTTTAGTTCTACCAGTCTGATACTTTTAATTATCATGTGCTATGTAGATAAGGCTTGGGTTAAAAACCAAATATTCTCAGATAAACTATGTCTAGATATATATTTCGTTCCTTAAACTAGCTGACTAAACTATGACCATAGAAATTTTAAGATTATATGTGTATATCATTTTGTCTCATTCTTTATATATCATAACAAACCTACGCAGACCTTCATCACTTGCTTAGGCGTTCTAATTTTTTCTGTCTATTTTAGAAAATATCTCCATTCTTATATCCTTTTAGCATCTTTTACATTCTCATTTTCTTTTTTTTTAAATAGTTATGAGGGGGCTGGAGAGATGGCTCAGCAGTTAAGAACACTGGTGGTTCTTGCAGAAGACCCGGGTTCGATTCCCAGCACCCACATAACAGCTAACAACTGTCCGTAACTCCAGTTCCAGGGATCTGACAGCCTCTTCTGAGCTTACTTACCAAGATAACTGAGGGGTTGCTGAGGTGTATGTATGACCTGAAGGTATGCACACTGGAAAGCCTTTACCCAGCATGGGTCATGCCTTCTCTTCCTAGCCTTCCCCAGATTGAATACTTTAGCCCTCCCCAAATCCAGAAGGCCATGTGTGATTAGGGACAAATTACATACAGTTGGCTGGGAAGAGTGGCTGGGTAATGCAGTGAGGGTCCAATGACCTTGCTAGAGGGATACCTTTTACAGTTGACCACTGAGTATGTCAGCTGAGGGCTTTCACATGTCCTGCAGCACACTGGAGTTATCTCCAATCCTTAGTTCCAGTTTCCAACACCAGAAGCCATTAAATTTTGTCAAATATTTTTCGTGATTAAGCCGTATCTGCTATTAGCTGCTCCATGTTTTCATTTCTGTTCCTTCATGATTCTCTCTGTATGTTCTGTGTTTCTAGGAATTTGTCTGTTTCTTCTAGGTCATCCGATGGCTGGCATTCGATTATCCAGAGTCCTTTTGGAATTCTCATTATTCTGAATAATGGACAGTAATGTCTCAAATTTCACTTGGAGTTTTTAGTAATATTAATCTCTTCTTTACAAAGTTAACCTAGTTAAGGGTTGTCAATGATGTTAATATGTTTGAAGAACAAAGCGGTTCATTGGTTTTCTCTGCTGCATTGTGGTCTCTGTTCCTGCCCCTACACTGGCATTCTTTGGAGGGAATGTGTCCATTTATTTTTTTGAGGTGGGGTCTCACTGTGCAGTCCAGACTGGCTTCAAACTCACAATCCTCCTGCCTCAGCTTCTCTAATGCTTCCCTTCCTCTTATAAATTAAATCTATAATTTCTAATAAATTTCTATGATAAATTAAATTATAAAGTTAATTTGTTGACTTGAAATCTTTTTCAGTGCAAATATTTATAGCTATAAAGTATTTACTCATGATTCTTAACTTCTTTGAACCTCAGATTCCACAATTTAATATTGGAAAAAGAGTATTGGTTCTTCAAGATACTGTTTGAAAGACTTAATGTAATAATCAAGTAGTCCTTTGGTGAAATGCACACACAGAGGAAGTGTTTCATTAATATTAGTTGCAATTATTACTACCATTAGTGTTAGCCTTAAAGTCAGGTAGCCAGGTCCTCCTCTGTTTAACCATATATATTTAAGTAAGGTTTTTAAACCATTTTAAATGTCTTTTTTTTTTCTTTTGAGACAGGGTCTCCTTGTAGCCCCAGCTGGCCTGGAACTTGCTATGTAGACCAGGCTGGCCTCGAACTCACAAAGATCCACGTGCCTCTGCCTCCCACACGCTAGGACTAAAGGTGTGTGCTACCACACCTGGCTGGTTTTCTCATCCTTAAAATGGAATAATTTCTCATGATAGAATTATAGTATGGATAAGTTGAGATATACACACAGGGCCTGGCCCATCATAAGTACCACAAACAGTGGCCAACATTGGCATTAATAATAACCCTTGAGCAGACTGGTGAAGGCTGTGCCTCCAGTGTTCACAGCAGAGAATAAAGAAATGTGAAGGAACTACATACAGGGAAAGGGGCGGAGAGGGGACACTGTCCAGCGAAACCATTCCGATATGGCTACTAACTAAACATGGCAGACAGAAGGATTTAAATGCAAGATTAGTTTTCCTTCTCTGAGATGCAACCATGCCGTGATTAGACTTCAAGTTATTCGTGGGGGATTATGCCCATGAAGGAAAACGGGATAGGAACTGGAGGAGCCCAGTGTAGCCCTCGGGCCACAGGTGGGTCGGATGCCCAAGGAGGCAGACAGGGGGAGCATGGCTGAGGGCGAGTCACCCACGAGAGGGAAACGGTGTCTTAAAGAATTCGGCTTGCATGCCTTTAATCACAGAACTTGGGAGGCAGAGGCAGGTGTATCTTTGTGAGTTCGAGGCCAGCCTGGTCTACATAATGAGTTCCAGGACAGCTGGAGCTACAGGGAAACCCTGTCTCAAAAAGACAAAAAAAAAAAAAAAATTCGGCTTGCTTTCCCGCTCCCACTGTAGCCCCTGCAGTTGCGCTCTCTCTGCAGAGGAGGTGGTGAACTGAGACCGGACCAGCCTGGGCCTTCTCTCAGTTGGGCTCTGGCCAAAAGAGACCCGAGAGGCACACCCACACCCAGGGAGGAAAACACTGGCAATTTTAACATAGGAAACAGCCATCACTCTCTCTCACATTTTCTTTTCTTTTTTAAAAAAATATTTTATTTATTATTTTTATTTTATGTGTACGAGTGTATTGTCTGCATGTATGTGAGTGCACCCGCATCGTGCAATGCTGCGGAGGTCAGAAGAGTGCTTCAGATTCCCCTGAACTGGGGTTAAGGATGGTTCGTAGCCACCATGTGGGTGCTGGGAATCGAACCCGGGCCGTCTGCAAGAGCAGTCAGTGCTCTTAACTGCTGAGCCATCTCTCCAGCCTCTCTCTCTCACATTTCCAAAGCCTTCAAATGACTGACAGGATGAAACTGATGGGATTTAGGGATTCGAAGAAAGATAGAAAATCAACTTGGGATAAACTTTATAATTACGTCATAATTCAACTCACCTGCCGGCACAAAACATATTCCCATAAGAAACAAACAGAGGAATCTAAGCTAGAGTTCTCCTTCGGGACACCGCACTGCAGAATGCCTCACCTTCATTCCTTGTTTCTTTCCATGACAGCTGACCCAGGGCAAGGAAGTTCTGGCCTCTCAGGAGGAGCCATCGCCGGTATCGTGGTTGGAGCTGGGGCTGGAGTGGCCCTGATAGCAGGCCTGGGGTATTTCCTGTACAGCAGGAAGACTGGCAGGTAGGTCGGCCCTTCCTCTTCCTCCTTAGAGTCTAAGTGCCATGCTTGGGAGAGGGCGAGGACTTCTTCCGCCTCGGGGCTGGCTCTCTCCACCTTTCCCAGAGCTCTGCTTCTCAGCACTAATTCCCACGGTTCCGCCTCCCTCGCCTGGGCTCCCTGTACGCTACTCTCCGAGGGAGTCGGTTCCTATCTAGTTTAGAGAAAAGGATCCAGTTAGGGTCTTCCACAGCCAGGAAGCCAGGCCACAAAGAAAAAGAAGAGAGAGGACCCTAGTATCTGCAAGAGAAAGCAAGTCTCATGCCCTCTGACCACCGCGGGAGGAGGGGCAGGGCAAGAGAGGAGTCCAGGATACAGCGGTGGCATCAGGTCCTCTCGGACAATACGATGAGAAGAAACATAAGCAGAACCTGCCTTTGGGAAACAAACAGGAGAGGCTTTAAGGTAGAACAGTTACAGAAGCAGTGGAATGATCGTAGACTGAGAGCACTGTGCCGTCCGTGACTCAGTAGTACATACGTACATACGTACATGCAGCTCAGTAGTGAAGCACTTGACCTGGGGGTCATCACTAGCACCAGGGGACAAAGTAGACCAAAACAGACATCCAGCAACCAGGAAGGAGCAAACGCTAGGAGGGATCACGCTTAGACAAAGGACTGAGGAAAGAGGAGAGGCAGTACCAAGCACTGTGTAGACAGCACCGACACCAAGGATTATCTACCCACAGTGTCCCCCCAGCTCAAAGAGCAAAGGTCTTGGGAATGGGAATAATACTGACAGTGTCTGATATCTATTTAGGGGAAGTGACCAGCACAATCTCACAGAGCACACACCCTCAGCCTCCAACCACAGTAAGTAAAGTCACTCACCCAGACAGAATCGATGTCGTCTACCACGTGTCCTGCTCTGCCACGGAATCCTGGGTTCTCAAACCAATCCTTCCCTTCTGAATTTTGACAGAAAGTGTATCCCCTTTCTAGCCCTAAGAGTCCCATAAGCCCCCACACCCTTCCTAGTGACAGAAGAGCCCCCTGAGACATCCCTGGAGAGAGGCTTGCTCCACCTAGGCCAGGCAGGTCGCGGGGAACCACATTTCTGGGAGTTATCCTGACTCCTTCCCTCCTGCCTCTATTACAGGTGTGGGCATTCTGCCTTGGCTAGACTTTCCTTGTCTTGTGGATGATCTGGGTGCTGTGGGCCTCTTTGCTCCTCCTTGCCATTGGAGCCTGTAGCTGAGAATCACACCTGGGTGAAAAAAATCAAGACTTTGTGAACTGGGAGAAATCTCAGATGGCTTTATCCTGTTCCTTCTCTGACACAAATTCATTGGGTCTGGCTCACAGGTTCTAAGGAAAGCTACTTCCGTAACCGTAGGCCACTTCCCCCAGCACCCAACCACCTCCACCTGTTACCTTCTTCAGGTAGCAAATCAGAAAGCCTCATGAGCTTTGTGTTTCCATGCATTGGTAACTCTCCTCTTGCTCCCCCAGGTCCGGGCCCCTCTGACAACTCTCCCAAGAAGGTAAGCCCTCCATTGGCTGTTTTCTCATGGGAATTTTACTGGAGAGAATAGTGCATTTGAGTTGGTTTTGGTTTGTTTGCTTTGCTGCTTGTTTGTTGAGACTGGGTCTCACCATGTATCCTGAAGTCAACATGTAACCCAGGGTGGCCTTGAACTTGTGGTGGTCTTCTGGCGTTGCCCTCTCAAGTGTGGGGATTAAAAGTGCATGCCACCGTGCCTGGCTGAGGATGAGGTGATCCTGGAGACACAACTGTCTCCTCCATGCTGCAGGAGAGATTGGCTAAGCTCTCTGATGAGTATCATATAACAATATGTGTTTCAGAATTATCCCCATTCTGTGTTTAAAATATTATTTTATTTTTATGTGTATGAGTATATTGCCTGCATGTATGTAAGTGCACCTGTGTCATGCAATAGCCGGGGAGGTCAGAAGAGAGCATCAGATTCCCCTGGAACTGAAGTTATGGACGGTTGTTAGCCACCATGTGGGTGCTGGGAACCCAACTCAGGTCTTCTGCAAGGGCTGTCAGTGCTCTTAACCAATGAGCCAACTCTCCAGCCCTGCCCCACGGCCCCATCCTGTGTTTAAATCCCACCTTTGATTGTAGTACTCTGTGGCCCTTGATAAGGAACGTGTATGCTCTGATCCTCAGTCTTGTCACATATAAAATGGGTGGTCTGTCTACCTCAAAGAGAGGTTAAAGAGATTCAAGGAGTTGGCAGATGGACCGCACTTAGTACACTGCCTAAGCAAGGAACCCATCACGTCTTTCTCCTGTCTGCCCTCAGTCTCAACCTCCTCTGACCATCAAAGAATGGTTTCCATTCTAATGGGTCTGGATCCTTTATTTCATAATAATTTTAACAAAGTTTAATCACTGTAACCTTTCCACAGAGTGCACACATATACCGAAAAATGTTTAAATCATAAGGACAGTTTCATAACATGAACTCTCATGAGTTTAACACCCTTGTAAGCAGCACACGGACCAACTTACTTCACAACTACCTCTCCCTCCCCCTCAAAACACGCCTTCCTGTCACTTCCCTACAAGGGGCAAGGCAGGCAGGATAGCGCAAATTGATGTCTACATCTGGCATCTTTCACTCAGCGCTGTGCTGTGAGATTCATCTGTGTTGCTGTGTTTATTTCCGCTGTGTTCATTCCCAGCGCTGTCTTAGCCTACTCCATGGCATCTACAGCATGATCTGTCTCTTCTAATGATCACACATCAGGACATCTCAGTGGAGCACTGAGCTTTGGGAGCGGCGCTTCTCACTTGTTCTCTGCTTGCTGACGTCCTGATCACCAGGGAGGTGAGGCTCTGACCGTGACACTGATTTCACTGATCTCTGCTCATACTTTACAGGTGGATGAAGTTCCATATTCTGTCCTGGACTTCAATGCCCAGAAACCAAAACAACCAGCTCCAGCCTCTTCAGCCTCAGAAACGGTTTATTCACAAGTGAAAAAGAATTGATGCAGTCTGCCCGGCTGACTGTACTGCTGATTGCTGGTGCATTCCCAGGCACTCGCCCCTCACTAGGAGATATCTGTTCCCTGGTGGGAGGAAGCACACACACACACACACACACACACACACACACACACACACACACACACACACTCCGCCTGTGGCTGCTCCGGGCTGTCTGTAGCCTCTCCCTTCAGTGTCAATACATGAAGAAACATCCTGGAGCCTACAGGAAACCCCGCCTTCCCTGGCATTGAAAGTTGGCTGATGCTGCATTGGGAGAGATGTATCAGAACCACGCCCCTCCACCTCCGCTGACCTACACTGTTTTAAATGTCCCTGTTCATAGCACATCCCTTCCTTCCCCCAAGTCCTGTCCTATCAGTCTTACTTGAATTTGCCACAACCTTGAAGGCTACATCCTCTTCCACTTGAGTGCCTGTGCCTGAAAAGTGAAAGTAAAAGCAGGAATGGCCGTTCCTTTCTCTTTAAGCCTGATGTGAAGCCAGTGCATACAGGAGAATCAAACGTATAGCCAGGAAACCTATACATTTGACAATAGTCATGATTTCCCATCTGTAGGATCAGGAGCACAGACCCTTGTGTGGTTGAACAATGTTACCACCCTTTAGTGAACCTGTGTCCGGAAAACCCACTGGAAGCAGTTAGGAAAGCTATTGACCAACATCCATCAACGATTCCTAAAGCAAAATGCAACAGTGAGGGGCAACATCTTTGCTGTCTCTATGGACTTCATTCATGAAGGTGCCCAGACAAGCAAAGAAGACAGCTTTGCATTGACATAGCTTTCTGGGAATTTGAGAAAGGAACAGAGAGCTACCCTACATAAATGATTGTTAAAGAAGCTGCAAGGAAACCGGGCTTCCCCTTTCAAAGGAAAATGGTTCATCATTTCCATTTGTAACTGCTTACTTATGTGAAAGGGAAGCTGTTTGCTTGATTGTGTAAGTCCATTTGTCAGCCTTAGGGAAAAGAAACCACTAAACCCTCAGGCTCCTTTAACCAGGAACTTCTCAGACCATTTTTGTTAATGTTCCAAACAAAAAAAAAAAAAAAAAAAAAAAAAAAAATAGCAATGCAGCTGTTTCCAGAGCCCCAGCCACTCAACCAGCTGGGTTAAGGTTGCCCGCTTTTTTGAACTACGCAGAAAAGAGTTAAGTTCCTTTTTCTGTTTTTCTTTCTTTTGGGTCCTGGCTGAGCCTGGACAGCTTGCTTCCTCTGACACCCTGACTTTCCTCACTGTTTTTAAAGCCCCTCCCCCACAACACAGCTTCTTGCCTGCTCCTTTTAAACTCTAATAAAATTGTCTTTCTGCTTAAAAAAAAAAGAGAGAAAAAACAAAAGCAAACCAAACAAACAGGAACAGCAACAACAGCAACCAGCAACCGAGAGGCTTTCCTTATTCACGCCAGGAATGGAGCTAACTCAGTTTTGGGGCATCTAGGACAGTCTCCAGCTACCTTTCTGTACAGTGTTTGTACCTGTGCATTTTTTTTTTCATTTTTTATTTTTAGATAGGGTTTCACTATGCAGCCTTCACAGACCTGAAACTCACAATCCTCCTTCTGTAGGGACCTCAGTCTGTAGAGACCTAAGTTTCTCCTAGGGTGTGTGAAGTGTGTCCTTAAAGGAACACAGACACTCAAGTCCAAGGCATTGTTTACTGCCTAGAAAGCAGCCCTGGTGTTCCCTTGGGAAATGCAAGCTGTTAGCAGGAAACTGACTCAGCCCTGGGCTTTCTGAACAGCCTATGAAACACCTTTTCTCACATGGGATTTATGGATCCCAGTTGGGATTAGAATTAAAAAGGACAGGAGAAGGAAAGCAAATGTACTTCTCAGGAAATCTTCTGGTACATAGGTGCATCTCTCCGTGCCAGCTGAACAAAGGGTTTTACTTGCTATTAAATGTTAGGATGTCACACTGTGCCTGGCAGGCCTTCTCCAAGAGAACTGTGTAGGAGTCCTGGGCTTAGGGACCTCTCTCAGGGACTTCTGGCCTGAACACAGCCTGCGTATACTTTCCTCCACCCATGCTGTGCTGGGTTATTTAATTTTTCCTGGCTAACACTGATTCTGAGTTATTTGTAAATTTGCTGTATATTTATAATAAAAATTCTATATCATTAATGCTATTGTTTGCTTTTGTGTTTTTGTTTTTTTGCATGCTTAGGATGGAACCCAGGGCCTTGTGCCTGCTGGATAAGCGCTCCACCTCTGAGATACATCCCTGATGCTAGTTTGTGAAAATGTCTTTCTGTAGGTAGAAGAAAACAATTGCTGGAAGGGAGTGGGGGCGGCAGAGTGGGCCTGTTGTTAAGTGTACAGTGGATATCGAATCTAGTCATCTAAGAATTAGCTAAATTCATTGCACGTTTATTAACAAAGTCTGTTTGTAAGCAACAGACCTGAGCTCCAACCTGTCTGGATCTAGTTCTCTTCCTCTGGGAGAGAAGGGATCTCAGGAGTAAGATATCTCCAGTACTGTTCATCCAGTAAACAATTCCTCCCACCCAAGTGGCTCCAGTGAATCAAAGGTGCTGATACAGCCTTAACTCACAAAAGTCTCCATAGATTCTTTCAGGTAGAAATCTCTCTAGCACTTTCCATTTTTCCTTGTAATCAGTTTCCATTGTTGGTCCTCTTCAAGAGCTAACCTGTACTAATCACGTAGAAATTCTTCCGCGTGCTAACCTCTCGTCTCGTTTTCTTACTCGTAAACGATAGAAATGCACTGCGGTCCTCCCGTTCCTCGACTCTTGTTTTCCCACACCCAGGACCCAGGAGCAGCATGCAATCAGCGGCCATCTCTGCGCCACACCAAGGCGTGCCCGTCATCGCCATAACTCAGTCTCATATCATCTAAGACCACAGACAACTTTTTCTCTTTTAAAAAATGTTTTATTTATTTTTTATGTGTATGAGTGTACTGCCTGCACATAGTATGTAAGTGCACCTGTGTTGTGCAATGTTCACGGAGGCCAGAAGAGCTGCATCAGATCCCCTGGAACTGGAGTTTCGGACAATTGTTAGCCACCATGTAGGTGCTGGGAATCGAACCCGGGTCCTCTGTAAGAGCAGCCAGTGCTCTTAACTACCGAGCCATCTCTCCAGCCCCTACAACTTTCTCTTTGGGCCGTTCTTGCCGCAACTCCCAACTACATACTGCGCTATTGCACAAAACATCGGCCCTCTCACCTCGGCTCATATGTTCCTCTACCCCACTCTCTCCTCACGTTCGAAGGCCTCTGTAGATGCCTCACGTATTGATACCTCAAGCCCCTCCCTCCTCCTAGAACTTGTGGCGCCCATCTCCCCAAAACTTCTCAGCACGCTGCTTTCACTCAGGGGCACCCCAGTGATCCCTGGCCCCTGCTCTATAGCCCCCGCATTCTCTGCATCACCAAAGCCTGCTGATTCTTTTTCTTAACACGTCTTGGTCCTGCGTCTTCTCCATCCCCACAATCTACCTGACCCAGGCCTTTAACACCTGCATGAAGCACTGCCTGCCTTCCTCCTCAGTCTCCCTCTGGAAATCTTCCTCCTCTGTCACCTTTCTAAAAACTCTCCTACTGGATAATGTACAATGCTCTAGTAGAGAATTCGATTTATTTTTCTCTTTACTAATCTTTTTCTTTAGGTTCAATCTATGTACCCAGGGTGGCCTCAAACTCATAATGCTCTGTAACCTCCTGCGCACTGAGATTACAGGACACACTGTCACCTCAGCCCAGCCTTTGCTTTCTATGTATTCCTAAAATTTTCATCCGTGTATATATTGTATGTTAGCAAGTTCTCTCTGCTTCTTCACCACCACCTCCCAGACTAGTTCTGCCAATAGTTCTAATTAGATCTGCCTCCCCATACGTTCCTGCCCTATACCTTATACACATGGAAATATCAGTCCCAATTCTGTGTCTAAAAATGAATACTAAACTGTGATTTCTCCATTATCTCCACTGCAGTTTCCCACACCCCTCATCACAAGCAACTTTACAGAGATCAAAGGCTTTAGCATTAATAGGAGGTTGCTAGATTCAGGCAGGACATAAACTGTGTGTGGTTGAGAATGTTTTCCTGATGACCAATTTATGCACTCATGAAAGAAACAGAAATGAATGATGGGGTCCTTACTCCAGGGAAAACAAAGCCTAAGACAGGAGACATGGAAAATGATGACAATACAAAATAATAAGGGGAAATGCCTTAAGCAGATGGTGAAGTCAGGACTGAGGGTATAGCTCAGTGACAGAGCACCAGCTCAGGACTGTGAGGCCCTGTGTTTCATCCCCAGCACTGAAGAAGGGGGTGGACAGAGAAATCCAGGGGGAAACAGAAAAGATGACTCCATATTAGAATCATTAAGAAAATTGTTAAAAGACGCTCAAGCCCAATTCAAAATATCTAATTTAATTGGTCTGGAAGGGAATCCAAGTATTGGTAATTTTTAAGCCTCCCCCAGTACTATTAATGGGCAGTTGTGATGACTAGTGTTAAGAATCTAGAATCACCTAGGCGACAAGCCTCCAGAGACACCTGCAAGAGATTCTCCACATGAGCTTGGTCTCTGAGAACGTCTGTGAAGGATCACCTTGCTGACCTTAGTTGATGTGTGAAGACTCATCTTAATCATGGCTGGGACAATTCCTTGAGTAGGGGACCTCGGACTGTGTGCAGTGGAGAAAGACCAGCTGAACAGCAGCACGCGTTCCTCAGTTTCCTTTCTGATCGTGAACATGATGTGACCCACTGCTTCAAGCTCCCGCACCTTGGCCTCCCCACCATGATGGACCGCACCTGCAAACTGTGAGTCAAAGTAAACCCTTCCTCCCTCAAGATGCTTTTATTGGTATTTTATCACAGCGAAAGGAAAAGAAACGGTGACAGTATTCAAGATAGAGACCCCTCTGCTACCGTAGAAACCAGGCCATGTTTTTAAACTAGGGTTCTACATCAGACTCACTTAGGGATTTTTTTCAAGATTTTTTTAAAGTTTTATTTTATGTGTATGAGTGTATTACCTGCATGGATGTAAGTGCATCCATGTTGTACAATGCCCGCAGAGGCCAGAAGAGCTCATTGGACCCCCGGAACTGGAATTAGGACTGTTGTTATCCATCACGTGGATGCTGAGAACCAAACCTGGGTCCTTTGCAAAAGCAGCCAATGCTCTTAACTGCTGAGCCATCTCTCCAGCCCCCAGCCTTGGGAATTTTTTAACATGCATAAACCTATACTACATCCCTGGAAAAGTAGAGGCAGTGTATTTCCAGTGAGACTTGTGCTTGTATATTTTTAAAAACATCCAAGTGATTCCATCATATGTTTCATGTTAAGAAACAGTGATCTGAAAAATAGGTCTTGAAAAAAAAAATTACGCAGTGTGTGGGGCTCAGCTTGAGAGATCTGTTCTGCAAGGTGCAAGCAGAAAGGGACTCAGGAAGAAATTTCTGGCAAGTAGTTAAATTTGAGAAGATTGAGAGGCTAGAGAGATGGCTCAGCAGTTAAGAGACTGACTGCTCTTGCAGAGGACCCGGGTTCAATTCCCAGCACCCACATGGCGGCTACCATCTGTCCTTAACTCCAGTTCCAGGGGAAACCGATGCCCTCTTCTGATCTCCACAGCATTGCACAACATGGGTGCACTCACATACATGCAGGCAATACACTCAGACACATAAAATAAAAATAATAAATAAAATATTTTTTAAAAAATTTGAGAAGATTGAGAATAACAAGTGTTGTGAATTTGGGAATGGCTGGAACAGAAATGTAGACTGGCAAAATCACTCTGAAAATGTTTGATAATTTCTTGTAAAGTTAAATAAACACCCATATAACCCAGCAATCTTATTCTCACATGTTTATTCAAGAGAAATGTAAATATATGCTCAAGGCATTTTGTGTGACTGCTCACATCAGTGAACTTATAACCTAAAAGTTAAACAAAAATATCCATCAGGAAATAAACTGTTAAAAAATCATGGCATGTCCACAGAATAGAATACTAATTTACAATTACAGGGTTCAGATTAGACATAAATCCAAAAATGGAGGGATCTTGAGGGGCACTGGGGCACACACCTGAGGTCACTTGAGCCCAGGAGGACTAAGCCATTCTGGATGATAGAGCAAAATACCATCTCAAAAAACATGAATCAGGTGGGCTTGGTGGTGCACACCATTAATCCCAGCACTCAAGAGGCAGAGGCAGGCAGATCTCTGTGAGTTCAAGACCAGCCTGGTCTACATATCAAGTTCCAGGCCAGTTGGGGCTACAGGGAGACCTTTTCTAAAAAAAACCAAAAAAAAAAAAAAAAAAGATGAATCTTGAAAATATCATGTTGTACACAGCAAGCCAGTCACAAAGGACACATACATGATACCATGTTAAGTTATCAAGAGTAGGAAATTCTGATTAATAGTGCAAAGAATTCATACTTGGGGACAGGATTAATTGCAAAAGTATTTAAAGAAATTTGGGAGTTAAACTATACATCACAATTCAAATTCAGATGGTAATTAAATGAATATACACATTTACCAAAAATCAAATTGTAAGTTGATGGCATGTGCCTATATTTATCCATGTAATGAGGAGGCTGATGCAGGAGGATCACTTTAGCCCCAAGAGTCTGAGACCAGCCCAGGCTACACAGCAAGACACTTGCCTAACGTGAATGAGACTTAGATTCTATCGCTAACACAAGCACAAAACCAAAAACAAACAAAATATACACTCAAGATCTATATACATTTCAATGTGTTTTAGTTTTACCTCAGTTTTTTACATTTATTCATTTATTTACTTATTAGAAGGTGGTCTGCACATGTTCCATGGCACACATGTGAAGGTCACAGGACAGGTTGGGGGAGTCAGTTCTCTCCTTCCACCATATGGGTTCCAAGGATGGAATTCAGGTCACTGGGTTTGGTGGTAAATGCTTTTACCTGTTGAGTCGTCTCTGAGAACCTTTATCTCCATCTCCAAACATCGAATAAGATGTGGTTAATTTAACCTATCAGACACAAAACACTAAAGCTCTTATTCTAGTACAGCATTGTACATTACCATATTTATAGCCAAGTTTTCTTTCGTTATTTAGAGACAGGGTCTAATGTAGCCCAGG